GCTGGTTTGGAGCAAAGAAGCAGTGTTACATTGGCTAAAGACAGTATGTAACCCATCCATAAGTCACTCAAGGTTTCATATTTCCCCCTTATGCCTTGCTTGTGCTCTTCCTCCTCCTACAAAGAGCAGAAATGGCTTTTCTGTTTGACAAGACTGTATCCAGGAGATAAATCTAAGTGGCAGGAGCAGGGAGGGAGGGTTGTGTGTGTGGGTGTTCCCAAACACTCAGCCCATCTCCATTCAGCAAATCACCTGGCCATTAAGGCCATTCTCTGTCTTTGGGTAAGTATCCTCTTCCTCTCCTTCCGGGTCTGGGTATCTGCCAGTCCCTAACTGCAAAGACAAAACTCAACCAAAAGGTGTACTTTGCCTGAGGGCTGCTTCTTTGCACAGGTGTGTGTCATAGTAAAGTAAGTGTCTTCCCTGGGTGAACCCCTTCTTATAGCAAACCATTTAAGCTGCTAATGTTCCTCTGGGGCAGGGCAGATTATGCATCAAAAGTGCATGAATACACCCCTGCAATCCCCTCTGAAAACAGGCTTAGAAAGCAGTGTATTCACTGGGAGGAAGGTGATGCCTGGATGGCAGCAAGCAAAACCTTTTTTCCTTTGCCCTATGAAATCCACTTCTAGTCAAGCATAAAGAAAACAGATGAAAAGAAAAAAAACTCCTGCCCACAGCCCCCATTGTGCCATCTACAAAGTGAGTGGGTTTTCGTTTCCATTAACGTAGGCCAGTCCTCTGGCCCTCTGCCAGCCTCCTGCTGCGGCCTCTCTCAGAGGAGGGGCAGCAACCACAAGTGTGACAGGTGGTAGGGTTTTTGGCAAGGAAAAGATTCTTTTCCTGGTGTCTTTTAATCTCTCCTGAAGGGTGATTTCAATAGTCTTTGGTCTGTAGGGGATCATAAGCTCCCTAAAACCCTTCAGTGAGAGCAGTTTCAGGCAGAGGAGGTTTTGGTGTCACAAAGCCAGCAGCTCCTCTTGAGAAACAGGGATAGAGATTAAAGCAGCTTGGGCAGTGCCATTAAGTTTGCCAGGCAGACTGGAATCTGCAGTATATCTCCAATGTAAGTGTTGATTTGTGAATTCTTCAAGTGCCATTTATCAACTCTCCCAAGTAAATCTTGTGCCCCATAGTATTCACTGTGCACTCTGCAACAAGTTAAGCTTTAGTTGTTTATTCTTTTAATTGAGCCCACAAAAAGAAGCAGACTGGGACACTTCCATGGATCTCCTGACACTGTTTAGCAGTGCCAGACTTTACTGCTCATTTACAGGAGGAGTAGACCAGAGCCCAAATAAATAGGGGAATCAGTTCTGGTCTAAACTTACTCTAGTTTTCAGGCGCTCATCGCTACAGTTTTGATGACTGCTGCCAGCCTGCCTCTGTGGGACAAGGTAAGAGCAAGGTAACAGAGCCAGCAAACATATTTGCATCCCCACATGGAATACAAACCCCCTTCCCAAAGGTATTGAGTGTAGCACCCAAGTCTCCTGAAAAATCTTAGAAAGAGCATTCCTCATTGTACTGTTGGTAAAGATTATAAAATAGGTTTTTTGCCCTGGTGTGCAGTGGTACTCTTCAGGCTCTGGTAAGCAATCTCTGTGCTGTTCTTTGTCATGACCCCTATACAACGTGGAGTTTGGAAGGAGGGCTTTCCTAGGAGCCCCATCTTCCTTTCTGGCTCTGCTAAGGTCGCAGTGTTTTCAGAGAACAGCAAGGATTATCAATCAGCTGTTCCAGTCCTGAACTATATCATGCCCTTCATCTGGAATAGGGTTTCTAAAGCGAAAAGGAGTGTGTTGATCTTAGACTGAGAGGGTACCCAAGTACTGGCCCAGCCTTTCATGCTCACACCCAGACAGCAAGCAATGCTAGAGCACAGTTCATCTACACTTAACTCCTATAGGCAATGTGCAAAAGTCAGGCCTTTCCTGAGTTGCAAGGAAAGCGAAGGCCTTAAATCCATGGAGTATTTTGATCCCCAAGATCCGTATTCCACAAGAAAGGCAGGGGGCACAAAAACATGAATAACCCTGGGTGGTATAGAACATGTTTCAGGCTGTGGCACTGACAACACCACATCTATTACATCTGGTACTGGTGACTATACTGGGCAATGAACAGAGGCCCAAAGTTGACAGACTTTGGCCTGTTTGGTCAGATCTTCCTGACAGTACTCTAATTTTGTACAGTGAATGAAAACTGCCAATCCTCAGGGCTGAAGGAAGTGGGGGGGGGGCTACTGAAGTTGCCTCCAGTTTAGTCTGAGCTCAGCTATAGCATATATGAAAGACACAGTAAATGGATCATCATTCTTTACCTGTCTGTGATCCTCAACATTGTATCCATTTCTCTAAGAGGTATAAGGAAAAATGTTCTCTGTCTTGCAGGTCAGATTTTGGATGCTGCTATGCCTTGAACACTTTTCTTGAAGAATTAATAGCCTAACTCTGCTGACTGTTTGTTTTTCTTTTCCCTAGGGGCTCTGCCAGATAAAGGAGACTTGTTTCTGGACCCTGCCATGGATCAGGAAATTGAGAAATTGTAAGTGGAATTGCCTAAACTAGGCGGCAAAGCAATAGATTAAAGGTAGCATGCTAAAGAAGAGTGGAATAAAGTACTGTCCTATTCCTCTGCTCTATTACAAAACAATAGAGGAGCTAAAAGAGCAACCTGAACAGGAAGAGTTTCTTACTTTGTGGTGCCTCAGTGCAGTTAACAAAATCCTTACAAAAATCTTCAGCAGAAGGGAAGAGTGTGACTCAAAGAAGGATCTAGAGAAAGCAGCAGTCTTTAATGATATTTTGTTTGGATGGTGAAAATTAGGAGTATTGGAAGGAACAAGATCAGCCCAGAAGATATGTTTAAATAGGAGAAGATTCACAGAGTGAGCCAGGGAGGTAGCAGTGCAAGGTGTTCCCCCTCTGTGCCATGAACATCTTTCTATCCCTGTACTAGTTTGAAGCCTTTCTCCCAGGTTCACTCCAAGAGTGCTGCAGTAGAAGTTTTTGCAACATGCTGCCTAGCACATTTCTTTTCTCTTTCAGGGTAGCTCAGGTTTCAGGGCTTTCTGTCTCTGGTCCTGCCAGCTCCAGTGCAGACACAGCAAATATGCCTGTTCGTAACTCACCCAGGATTAACTCACCTTGGAAACCTCTACACCATCGTCGAAAAATGGATGCTGAGAGTGAAGGCTCCAATGAAGAGACAGACTCCTCTGAAAACTGAAAGTTGTGAGGGTGGGGACCATTCCTATCTTGGGTTCTCCAGAACCCACTGGAGGAACAGCACCTCCTCCCAGAGCAGCTGCTCTAACAGTGGGTTCTGTCTACATCAGCAGTGTGTGTGCTAATCCTCGGTGCCAGGTTCACCCATCTTTTCCCAGGAACAACTTGCCTTTCTCTTAGCTCCAAATCCGTGCAGAAATAGCGCCTCTGCAGAAGCCATTTACAGCTACAGAATTATGCTTCCCTCTGCTGGCAGGTAAGACAAGCCAGCAGCTGCCAGCTCCGCCACCACTTGGAACCAGCCGGGTATGCTCCCACCGGGGCGCTCCCTCCCAGTTCTGCAGTTCAGCAGCTGCTGAAGCAGTGAGAGCACTAGTACAGGCCACTTGCCAGTGATTCATTGTGTAGCTCTGCTCAGATTTGGCCCAGATAACAGAGGGGTTAAATCACCGGCAGCAGCTCTGCACTTCCGTTCCATTATTATTCCCAGTAAAGCTGCATCTGTATATGACCAAAGGTAAGGAAATTCCTGAAGTTCCTAGAAAAGGGAAGCTTAGATATTGCCATGCAACTTGTCTCTGCTTTGTGCTTTCTCCTCCATGTGTCCAAGACTTGCCGAAGCAAATACAGCAAATAAGCTAGACTGCAGTAAGTACTGCATGGTGCTGTCTGGCTCCGCTGCTGTACTAAGTGCCCTTCTGTGAGGTCTCCCTGTCCCTCCAACAGCATATTATGGTCATTTGGAAAAGTGAATTTCAGAGGATTTGGAAAAGAGGGATAAGGTTGTTAAATTCCTTGGCCACAGGTGGTATGGCTTGCAAGTATATAGTGCACCTACTGGGGCTAGGTGGGCAGAAGCTAAGGGAAAAGGAAGCAGTCATCAAATAAGATCAAGTTGGGTTTTTTTGTAAATGTTGGAATTGTTGCAGCAGCAGCGTAGCCCTTAAAACTACAAAAATACGTAGTGTCACATTGCATTAATGGTAACCCACTCAGCAGTTTAAACCTCCGCAGACCTGAACGCTTTGTCTAGCCCAGTTCCTGCACCCCAGCTTGCACAGACTAGTTATTTTGGGGGGAACTTCAATTTCTCATGCTTCTTTGGCAGCCTCCTTGCTCTTCTTGGTCATAAAGTGCTACATCACAGGCCACCAGGAGCTGGTACCCAAAGCTTGTAGGAGAGTGCCATCAGGGTTATTTATTTATTATAAGTTAAATAATTTATTGTCTGTACATTCTCTCCCAGCTTGGTGAGTGGCTGTGACAGCCTGGCAATAAAGCACGCTGTGTCAGGGCTCTGTTGCCTCTGGGTTCTCCGGTCTTCTGGGCTGCCCCGGCCGCTCCTCGGGGGGAGTGGAATCTGGTGGGCAGGACCAGTGGAGGGCCCCGGCCATCTTCCAGGGCCCCAGGAACCCCACCCCTCGGCCGGGGAAGGTGCCGGCCCCACCCCTGGAATGCCGGGATCGCCACCAAGCCCTGCAGCCGCAGGGCAGCCGCACCACTGCTCCCTGCCGCTCCAGCCTGCTGTGGGTACTGTGATATTGACCCTTACCCCCCTCATGCCCCACCAAAGTGAAACATCAGCACGGAGCAGCCGAGTAGCTGCTGCAACCCCTCAACTGGACAGGAGAGGTGAAACCCATGCAAGCCTCTTCCCAGTCCCAGGCAGAAGGCTCCAGAACAGCCCCAAACTCTCTTTTGCTAACATTGTGTAACTAGCCCTTTCCCACCCTTCTTCTTACTACCTAGTCATCAACACCACAGTCCAAGGAAGAGAAGAGCACTCGTGTTCAAACCAGAGACAAAGCTGAACAGGACTAAAAGTTCTCACTGCTGCACCTCATGGTTGACTTAGAAGCTCAGTACTTTGATCTGATCCAAAGCTGGGCAACAAAATAAACCAGGGATCCAGTGAATTTCTTTACTTCTTTACCTGGGCTTTTTTTGCTGATGATGTAGTTAGAAGCTAAAAAAATAATCTTTGATTTGATTTTTTTTTCTCCTGCATTCATATATGTTGGTTTAGAAGACAGTAAAAAGGACTAGATCATGGTAAAAGGCAAACCCTGCAAATACAGAGGACTCCACAGCACCATGGATTGGGAGCAGTGATCAGAACAAAAAACAGTCATGTCACATGATGTTCAGAAAAATAGCATTCCCCTTTTCTCTGTCACTTGGTGAGCTAAGGTATGGGCCAAAGAAGGAGAGGAGCACTGATGAGGACAACCCAGGAGTTCCTGTCATCTTTACAGCAATGAGGTTAACCCTGTAAGAAGGCCTATCTCCACTGGCTAGTAGATAGCAGTGGGTATGAGGGCACATTGAATTTTAATAGAGTGGAATCCAGAGATATTCAGAAAACATCCTGGGCACAGCCATGTCCTGACTCTCTCTGCTTACCTTCTCCCCTCCCCACCCAACCCAGACAAATAAGACAATCCTGTGGAGTTTACTCCAGGCAAAGTTGGCGTCAGTGCCTCTTGCTGGCTTCCCCTTGCAGTTCCTGGGTCATCAATATGAACCATAACGATCCTAAGAAGGAAACAGACAGAGACACCTTGCTACAACACCTTTGTGCAAAATCCAGAGACAAGACATTTGGGGGGTTTGGTATTTTAATGCAGTGTGAGGTTCTCTAGACAGGATGCTGTACAAAGGCAGAAGGTAAAATGACCTTGACTTCCAAAATTCTGCCTGGAATTTGTGGTAGAAGGTGGATCTGACATGACAAGGTGTCCTGTGCAGCAGGAGGGTAAGGCTGGCCAAGCAGAGTTCACTGGCCCACTGCAATTGCTCAGCTATTGTACTACAGTCAACAGCTACAAACAACAGGTATCTACCTGGAACTTTCCACATAATTTGAGAAAATAAGTGATAATTCCTATGGAAGCCAGGTAATGGTGAAAAGTCCCTGAATGTGACAACACCCTTTCTCAAGTTACCATCATTTAAACTCACCTGAAGGGAGTTCATCACCCCATTGGCCAAGACAGCCATCTTGCCAGCAACTGATTTCACTCCTTGCTTGAATTGTGCAATGTCAGCTGCAGGCAGGACATTTCCAATAGACACACCACCTACAAGAACCAGGAGGAGTTAGCCCAGAGTCTCTCAGCTCCACAAAACACTTCGATCCCCTCCAGTCTAGGTCTTCCAAAGCTGCCCCCTTCCTCAACCCACTGAGTGCTAACAAACCTGAGTGCACATTGTCAGCCTCTCCAAACAGGTCTGCAGAGCTGATGGCACTGCTGCCTGAGAGCTGCTGTAGTCGGGATCTGGCTTCATACTGCAGCAGAAAACAAAACAAAAAGGTTATATAGGAAAGGAACAAAGGACCTGAGAAAACAGTAGGAGGTAAAGCCAGAGCTTTACCAGTGTAAGCAGTGCAGAATGCATCTACCTCAGCATCTGCCTCCCGCCCGAAAAACATATCTGAAGAGATAGCTTTAGCCCCTGCAAACTTCTGCCGAGCTTCATTGGATTCCACCATGGATGGCCGGTTCTCAATTTCCCGCCTACTGGCGGGTCTAAGGAAACAAGAGGAGACATCTCAGATTAAGCTCACCAACCCAGTAAAGAATCACGACTTCTGTCTCAGACCTCAACTAATCAAAGGAAAGCAAGTTATTCTTAAGTAAGTGTTAATTGCATAGGGGCTCTCCTCTCCCCATGTGAGGACAGTCAGCACTCAATGACCACAAAGGCTGTATAAACTTACAGACATGACAGGCAAAGAAGTGTCTAAGGCCCTTTCACTCGAGGCTCTTTTACTTGGGCTTGTCTGTGCCTGTGCAAGTCATTTTCTGCAGCATGAGGCTCCAGCATCTGTGCCACAGCTCCTACACTTATTCCTTGTCCCCTACACAAGTGCACAAGATACACTAGCAGTGGAAAGCACTTTACCTCTCTGAAACCGGCCGAATGCTGGAAACGGTCACCTCTGGTTCCTCCTCTTTGTCCATACCCCATGAAGAGTCCGTTTCCCATCGTGAGCCAAATGCATCTTCGAATGAGAAGGGACTGTATTTGTACCTAGGTACCAAAAATAGGTAATTTACACCAGACATAAAATTCAGGAATAAACAAAGACTATACTAAAGCTAATTCTTACTTGGGGGGTCCAGATGTGAAGCTTCCACCATCTTCAAACAAGTCCAATTGGGAGCGGGAAGATTTTGCTACCAGCGGTGTCTCTTGCTCAATTACTTGCATCTCAGATGTGACCGAGTGTGAAACAGAACTAGCACAACAAACAGGCAGAGTCAGGGCTGACGGGTCTGACGACATCCAGTCCCTACAACCAGTCTGCCTCAAAACTGAATCTGGCCTTCACAGGCAGGACAGGTGACACAAGTTATGAGGGAGAGTTGGGGGATGTCAGCCCCCTTCACCACTTATCTATGCTCCCTCAGAAATCTTGAGCTACTTTCTTAAAGGAAGGATTTTGCAGGGGGACACCTGTCAAGCAGCAGGACTCTAGTGCTAGACACTGACAGGCCACACATATCTGTCAAAAAGCTCAAATGAGAACCAGAACCTTTGAACAGAGTGCCTATTCCTTCTGGGGCCCGAAGCATTTTCAGTCAGAGAACAGCATATGAGCATTTTAACTTATCTCCTTATCTATTACAAGAGCTAACTACTGCCTTCAAGAAACTTTTCCAGAGCAGGGTACTTATAAGACACTTGTCTATACTATGCCATCTACAGCCAAGTACCTTCTGGACACCAATCCCATGCCCAGCCTCTCTGCTTGTTCACGTTTCTTCCCTTCAAGGCTCTGGAGTTTCTTCTCTTCCTTCTTCCGATCAAGCTGCAGTTCCTGATAAGCCAGTCGCATTGACGTGACTCTAGGGAAAGAACCATGGTGGGTACCAGCTCATTACCCTCCCTTGCTGCCCTTGCTGTGTTATAGAAGAACAAGTGATTAAGTAACCCCAACCATCCTTCAAAACAGCCACTTTCACAGCAGCTCTGCCAAAAATCCTTGCACAGAAGTTATTGCTTGTTTTGCCATCTCCTCCACTGGGATTCAAGTCTTTGGCTAACCATGATTTCCTTATTGTAAGCATCACAATGTATATCTACGCCCCACCCCTGCACTCAGAATGATCGACCCACTTAAGCCTTTCGCTTTTTCAGCCCTGTCCAGAGGTGAACAGAAACACACGATACACAGAAGCTCCCTATGCTCTTCCAGGAATGCTAATTTGAATAAAATACAGCAGTATAACTTGTACCCTGCTGCAAGGGCCATATTGGCATATAGCTACTGCTCTTCCTCTCATGCAATATGTTCTGAAGTCACATTTGGTGGTCCTAGGATGAACAGCATTAACCTCACATTACTTCTGTCTTAGGTATGCAAGGTCCTCATCCCAAAGAGGGCACTTACATGGACTCCTCAGCTTGTTTCCTGGACTCCACTGCCTGTTGCTCCCTCAGCTGTTCTGCCACCTGGGCTTGCCGCTCAATCTCACTGAAGCTTTGGCTGCTGACTTTCTGGGCTCCAAGACCTTTTTTTGCACCCAGCTTAAAAACAAGAACAAAATCCTGTGAATTCTTCATCCTAGATTGTTTATTGTAGAAGAAAACCTGAATCTACTTCTTGCTGCACCAATGAGGCTTTCAGTCTTCCTGTGTAGTCACAGCCTACAGACCTACAAGAGTTTGCAACACAGTATGGAAGAACATCCAAGAGTTAACGCATCAGTGGCCAGCACTTAGAGATCAACCACGTATGCTTCAAACCACAACCAGTAATGATCCAGAACATAATTTTTTTTTAGCAATAATATACAGGCTGCTTAAGGTCTCCTTTCCCCTAAGCAGATCTCTATAGCCTTGTTAAGCAGAAAGCAAGAATCAGGGAAAGGACAGCAGAAATGCAAGACATGCTTTACCTCCCCTCCATAAAAGAGCTCAGACATACCCCTTTCTTGGCAGCTCCCGGCTTCTTCTTTCCAATGAGGGAGGATTTAAGTTCTGCAAAAGGAGGGAAGCAGCAAATAAGCAGAAGGGAATTAATTTAAGAGGCCAAAATTAGACAGCAACCCACAAGATCATCCACCACAGTCCAGCTGCAGTAGCGTCCAGGGCACACCATGCATCTTCACATCAGAAGCCTGGGTGATTTAACCCAGGCAAGAAAGATGCACGTAGAAGCTCCACAGTTGCAGGCTTGTGGCCTAAAGAAGCACATCCATTTCTGGAGCAGCTATAATTGAATTAGGAATGGTAACTCCTCTGAGTGTTATGCAGCAGGTATCAGGGTAGTTAGAGAAAGACCAGGTTTATCCCGTACACAAATTCAAGAAAATGCACCTTCAGATGCATGGGAAGATCAGAGCCTCATCAATGCCTTAAGGGACAAAGCAGCAAGAACTCTGAAGTTGTGTTTACATGAACATACAAAAAAAAAATGGACCTGAAGTGCAGCAAGCTGTAAAAGCAACAGGTTCCCCGACACCTCGCACTTGTCACTCTTGAGGGCATGCCACACTCATAAAACCAGACAAAGGCCAGCCAAGCAGCAGATGTCTGGGGAAAAGTCTAAGAAAAAGCAGAGAGGAACTGCCCAACACATTTTCCAGCTTCCTATAGGTAAGTCCAAAATCTTTTATTGCCCTTGTTGGGCTTTTATTTTGTGTGCGCATCTTCTGACTTTCTACAGCCACGTGACTTTTGTTAGCCCATAAATTATTCTTGACACGTTTTCTTTCATCTTTTCTAGTCTTATGATAAGTCTTTTTTAAAAAGGGGATTCAAAACATTCACACTATCTGAAACTGTTTTCTGCTTGCTGTTCCTAACACTTAATTCAAGGTTGTTTGGGTTTATGTTTGGAGATTTTTATATTTCAGGAAACATTTAACAGAAATGTTAATACAGTCTCTACAGATACAACATATCTGGTTTAGCTCTCAATACAACAATATAAGCTTTGTCTTGTTCTCTCCCTCTAAGCACAGGAAGCTAAAGTTAGAATTGAAGGCAGAATCTCAGGAGGGGCAAGCAGAGTTGTCACAAGCAGCCAGCGCAGGCCACCTGTTAGCCAATTACCTCCAGCAGGAGCAGCCCCTTGTGTTGACAGATACATGGACATGTCTGAGGAAGAGATGTAAAACATGGGGAATGAAAAGACACTTGAGGACACAGTCTTTCCACCCAGAATGAACCCACTGTGGGCTAGGAGCACGCTCTCAATAAAGGAAGAAGCTCCAGCTAGATGTTCTGTGTGTGGCCAGGACCGTAATGGCAGGGGAGAATCAGATACAAATCCCTATCATTCTGAAAACTAAAAATTCATTTGCCTCCAAAGGTTCTGTGGGGAAACAAACCAAAAACAACAGCCATGTGGCTTTGATCACCCAAATTCTAGATATGCAAGTCCCAAGTTTTACCCAAAGCTCAAAACCAGGAAAACATGCATTTGGAAAAGCAACGGCTTTAAACTTAATTATCCAAAACAAGGAGGAAACCTCCAGAAAACTGTGACTTGGTTTTGGGCTTCAGGAACATCCTAAGTACTGGCTCAACAGGGAAATAAGCTTGTTTAGATGTTCTGGAAAACTGGCTCATTGCTTCCAGCTTCACTGAGCTTACTACTGAGCAGTGGGTATAAGAGCAAGACTGATCTGAGAGTGAAGAGTCTTACCTAGAGGAGCCTTAGGAGATGTGCTCAACAAGTCAATAGATGGACCTTGGGTGGGATCTGTGGGCACAAAACCAGAAGAGAACATTCATCAGATTCTCAACCCTTTTCTTTCCAGTATGTTCACAGTTCCACTACATCTCTCCTAGCTCCTCTGCCCCCACAAATAAATCCAGTTACAGCTTGAAATATGCAATTTCCCAAGCAAGACAGCTTTATTTCTCAACAGAGCAAATTATTCCTTCTGCAGTCTTCTTAACACAGTACAAGAAAGCAAACATTCTGCAGGGAAATATACAAAGCTGTTTCAAATTACAGCTATGCCCCCAGGTTCTTGGTTTCCTTGTCCTTCACCTAAAAATTTTTCTATCCTATGTCATTTTCAGACCCATCAAATTCAAGGAATAGAGAAGAATATTTAGACAAATAATGTTTGGGGCAGCTAATCCCCAAAACAGTTTTGTGTGCATTTCAGAAGAAGTGAAGAACTGACCACAAATGGAGCAGCATTTTTAGAAGTCTCCACTAATTTAACTAAACATCCTAACAATTGAGCCCAAATGGAGCAGTGTTTTTAGAAGTTACCACTAATTTAACTAAATATCATAAGAGTGTGAAGAACTTCCACTCCTTCAGGCCTGAACCAAAGGATAAGTTCAGCCCTTCCAACACTGGTTCAGAACTGTATTCTCCTGGAAATGAAGGCAGGCTCTTGGAAAAATTATTCAGTAAAGAACTCACTTGAAATTTCGCTGCCTTCTGATGAATTTGCTGCTTTTTCCATCTCTGGAGAAGACTGTGCAGGATTCTGGGTGGCATCTGCTACATCCCAGGTACTGGAAGACTGCAAGGAGATACTCATTCCAGTTATTTCCAGAAGATGAATGAACCAAACAATCCTGCATTTACTACTGGTTTTGTGACCTGTATTCAATTTTAGGCCAAAGGAAACTTATTCCAAACTTCAGACTATGCCTTCCTTGAACATAACATATGGACAAGTCCACATTCCCTTAGCAGGGACAAAAATGAAAAAAAAAAAAAACCAAAAAGGAAGCTAAGTTGAATGTAAGGCCAGGAGGAATGACAGAATCATTTGACAAGCTGGTTAATGTGAGGACTTCCCAGGTAAAAGGAAATTAGTTTAAATCTGGGAGAAAGTGTAAGTGAGTTTTCCTGGAAAAAATACATCTCCACTTCTCTATTTGCCATTACCTGAGAAAGTCTGCCTGGCATGGTGCAGTTGCCCAAATCCAGTTTACCAGGGTCTATGCACTGAAAAGTTTCTTCTAAAGCAGAAGTTAAAAGTAATAGCTAGTCCTTGCTTTAACTGTACAAAGAAACTAAGCATTAATACAGCACACAAAGCATATTCCAGGGCATTGGTGGTAGCTTTGAGTTCTGGAAGCTAAAGATGGTCTCAAAAACAAAGGATGTGGATATTACAGGGACTGTTGAGATCTTGACTATGTCCCAGGCAGATGACCGAGTCTGACTTCTTCCACATTACTACTGATTAATTGTACAATTTAGAGTCCTTCAAGCTAAGTGGGACTGCTCCTGGCTGAACAGCTGGCTATTGAAGAGCTATTATGGCTGCCTGGTTTAGGCAGCTCTTCTCACCTGTGTGTGCTCCATGAAGAAATCAGCATCACTCTTCTCAGGGGAGTGCCCAGGGGCTCCACTCAGTCCATCTATAAGCAACTGAAGAGAGGAGAGGGAAAAAAAAAAGGTATCCTACAAGACTCAGCATCCAGCACTACCCATCTAGCACTGCAGAGCTCTCAGACTTACATCAGTGCCATACTTGGCCATGGCAGCACTTGCCAGCTGCCGGATCTTCTCCCTGTACATCTGGGCAGCTCGACTATTATATTTAGCATTGGCATCTGTGGTGGTACAGCCGTGCTGGCGGAAGAAAGCAGTCTGAAAAGAGAGGAATATTCAGTCTCCTGACTGCTAGATCATACTCAAGCAAGCACTAGACAAACTCAACAGAAAAAGAAAACTTCCCAGAGACAGAGGATGAAAAACTGAGAACGCAGCATAAACCAACCATTCACTGATAAGCTTTCTACAAGAAGTCTCACTCCAGAGGCCTATGGAAATCATCCGTCTTCTCTACAGAGAGATGATTCCGAGTCACAAAGCTGAGCATGAGCTTTCAAACTAATCAGTGTTATTAACTTCTATCATTTAAGAAGGCTTTGCCTCTCATTTAAATGAGATGTAAAAAATGAGAGATCTGCACATCAGAAAACAAGGCATGCAAAGGTCACAGTCTGACAAATTCCCCCCTTCATTACACATTTCAGATCAGACTGGTACCAAGAAAGCCACACAAAGGAAAGGGACAAGAAGCAGAGGATGTGGATTAGCAAGAGGGAAAGCAAGCAAAACGCCTACAGAGGCTCCTCACCGCGTTGGCATTGCTGCCCACTTGCATACACCTCAGCTGGAACCAGTTCCAGTTAGAATCCAACTCTGTGGACCTGTGTGAGAACCAATTATTTCTATTAATAAACACCAAGCAAACCAAATGCAAAACCAAGCTCTGACATAAAATAGTGAGATATCCCACTACTATTCCAAAGTGTAGGAGGCAAAGGTAGAAAGAACATCTTGGGAATTTCTTTACTCCTCTAAAAAATTAATTTCAACTTTCAAAGTGAGGAAAAAGACCACCTTTTACCCAAATTTTGAGGCTCTCTCCCTTGTACTGCTTGTTTAGAGGGCAGAGGTTGAGTTAGGAAAGCACAGCCAAGAACTTTTGTTCTACATGTGATCTCACCACAACATGAGAGACTCGTATTCAGCCTGTCCCACAGGTTGGGCCAAAACACGTGACAAAGCAACTGAGAATACATCCAAGTAAAGCTAAGGGACACAGAGTCTCATACTAGTTACTCAACTTCTCTCCTAACAAGTAAAGGTCACAGTTCTCTTAACTTAAAGTGCTAATTTCTACAAGTACTGAAAACAAGAAGTAGGCTGAAAAGCCAACACCATCTTCTCCATTAGGCTGATACCAAAAAGATCGAACAATATTCCTCTTTTTGCCTTGCTCAGTGTTACGAAAAATTACGTACACCACGCTGCTGCATTACTGGCAAGATTCACAGACCACACTCTCATCTTTGTTCCTACAATGCCAAGTCCAGATAGCGTTTCTGCAAGGTTAGTGAAAGCAACACGTCGACGTTCCATCCGAGGTACTTTGGAAGTGCTGAGTGACCCAGAACCTCCTGCGAACAAGCCTCATAAACGCCGAGGTGATCGCTCCGCGATCAGGCTTCTCTCCCAGTCCCTGCGTGCTCCCACCCCGGGCGGGATGGCTGCTGCGGGCCTGCCGGCGGCACCGCGGCCGCGCTCCCCACGCACCTGATGAAGCTGAGGTGCACGCCCAGGGACCTGTGGACGCCGGAGCAGTCGATGCACAGGAAGACCCCGTAGGTGATACTGGCCCAGCTCGGGTTCTTGGCGCCGCAGTCGAAGCACGACTAAAGCGAAGGCAGAGGGACAGGCAGGTTGAAGCTCTGCCGCTCCGCCACCCCCTGCCACAGCTCGGCGGCCCGGCCGCTCTGCCCAGCCGCTCCCCAGGGGCCCCGGCCCGGCCGCCCCAACAGCCGCCGCAGCGCGGCCCGGAGCCCACCGGGGCCCAGCCGGAGCGCAGGCCGCGGCCACAGAGCAGCAGCCCGGCACGGACAGCCCGGGGGACCCTGGCCGCTCCCCGCTACCTTGTTGGCCGGCGCTGCCCGAAGCCGCTTGAAGAGGGTCTGGATCTCCGTCTTGCTCGGCTCCACCGCCATGATCTCTCCTTCCCAGACACCCCCGCGGGGACGGCAGCCGGCCGGGCCCAATCGGCGCCGCGGCCGCGGGAGAGTCGTGCTGGGCCGGCCCCCGCCGCGTCCGCGCTTGTGAAGGGCGAGAAGAGAGCGGGGCCCTCTTCGCTCCGGGCCGGCATTAAACAGCGGCAGCGCTCGCTGCGGGTCACCCCGGCCTGCGCCGGCTGCCGGCCGGACGCCTGGCGGGGTCCCGGCAGCGCTGTGCGCGCATCGCACGCCCCGAGCCCCCGTGAGCTCGGAGCGCTTTGCCGCAGCCCCGCAGCGGCTGGGGAGCGCCGGGCTGTGCCCAGGCTGCGCTTCTGGGGCCGCTGCGGGCCTGCACCGACAGACGCGAGCTTTGGAATAGTCATGGGGCACTGCCTGCCGTGGGTCATCTGCTACCGGGAAAAAGCTCGGCAGCGTTTCAGACGTCACCTGTTCCAGCAGCCAGACTCAGGGCACCGGGCCTGCTACACTGGCACAGACGAACGGTGATTTGTAAATGATGCACAGAACCACAGAATGGCCTGAGTTGGAAGGCACCGACATAGATCATATAGTCCAACTCCTGGCCCTGCACAGGATATGCCTAAGAGTCACACCATGTGCCTGAGAGCATAGTCATAACACTTGTTGAGCTCTGTCAAGCTTGTGCTGTGATCACTTCCCTGGGCAGCCTGTTCCGGTGCCCAGACACCCTCTGGGTGATGAACTCTTTTCTATTATCAATCCTAAATCTCTGCTGGCAACTCTAGGCCTGACACTGGTCATTAAAGAGAAGTGATCAGTACCTACCCCTATGCTTCCCCTTGTGAGGGTATCGAAGATAATGTGAGGTTCCCTCAGTTTCCTCGAGGCTGAAAGACAAAGTGACTTCATAGACACCTAGTATGGCTTCCCCTTCAGACTCTTCTCCATTTCATAGCCCTGATTTAACCAGGGCTGAAGATGCTATTACTTGGCTATGCAATAATCAAGGCATCATGAGGCAGTAATCAAGGTAGGGAAGTTATTACTTCAGAGCAAAAATTATGTAATGGCCCTTATTACTGCTGTTTTATCTGTCTAGAAATAGTAGAGTATTGGCTAGAAAGTAATTCAGTTATAATGCAAGAAAAATAGAAAAATATGGTTGTGCTGTGAATTAGAAGTCAATGGCATATAGTCCATTCTTTAGTAAAAAAAAAAAAAAAAAAAAAAAAAAAAGTTAAAAAGTGACTGCAGAGCAATGAGAGGTTCAGAAGGATGAGAACAACAACAAAAGTTAATCAGCACCATGGTACTACAGAGATGGAATGCATTGGGAGTTCCTTACCTCTGAAAAGAGATTGCTCTGCAACACCATCTTGTCACTAAAAGAAACTTAAATGTACTAATATCTGGACAAGACAACTTTCAGTTTAGATTTAAAGGCTTTTTTCACTCATTACCACAGATATTAAGGTAGGCAATAGAATTCCTTTCAATGGGAACCTAGGACCCATGGTCTTGGGAAGATACATGAAGTATTGGGACATAGAGATGCAATCAAGAGGAACAGAGTTTTTAAGGAGGAAAAAAAAAAGCCCTGCAGAAAAACCCCTGCAGATTTAGCAGGGTTTTGTGTTCTGGGAATCAGCAAGGCTCCGACTGTATGATCACAGTGAGGCCTGATATGGTAAGCACATGCAGTAAGATGAGAGGCTTCTGGCTGACACATTTGATTGAAACTGTCTGAGATGAGTTTCTGAGCCGGGTAGTGAAGCCTGATCTAGCCTGACAGAGCTCATTCTTGGCAGCAGCCTTGTCAGTCTTGTCTTCAGTATTCCCTGGTTTCAGTTGCTTTTATTCTACTACGTTAATGGTGCCTATATGCCATTTCTAGGATTACACACACATGTAATTTCATGGGGAAGCAATGCAGGTAAAAGTAACTGATAGCATTTTTCTCACAGCTATTTTTAAACCAGTTGAGTTCCCTGATGCCATTCATGGTGCAGCTGTCCTGGCAGTCATACTAGGAGAGCTGATGTCAGGGTGCAGTAAGGGCTGGCCACACACTAGGACAGGGAGAGCTGTGAGGGGCTGTTCCTGAGGCCAGCAGCCTCATGGGGCATGGCCCATTCCCACAGTACCTGACCACAGAGAGCCCGGCAGGCCTGGCATAGCATCTGGTATCCAATTCTTGGATTTCATCAAGGATTGAGATAGCTGGACAAGTTCATGGTGATGAGTAACTTGCAGTCAAACTGGGCCAGGATCAGGTCCAGTGACTGCCAGGTGCCTCTGTGGTAATAAGGCAAGGTAAACCAGCCTACAGGTTAAGATCAACAAAGCTCAGCCAGAAACTACTACTCCTCTAACATAGCTCAGACAGGGCCTAGGAACTCTGGGCTGAGCTTAAATGCAAAGACACCTTCCCCAAACACCATGGACAAAGGCTTTGGGCAGAGCAATGAGGTCAGGCTGCTCTGGACAGTGAAGGTCTGTTAGTGCATTCAGGGCCCTGGCAGGTGAATCTACAGAAGGGCAGGAGAGGGAGTCTCTGGTGCCAGGTTGTGTAAGCTGCATCTTGTGTAGAGGAGGAAGTTCAGATGATGAGAGTGCATTGGGAGTGTTTGTGTTTATGTTGGCTGGAGCTGCCTCAACCTGAGTTGCTTGCTCCTGCCCTGTTAGCATCAGTTATGTGGTGCTGCTCCCTTCTCTGCATGTTTGTTTCTTGTGTTTGAGAATGGGATGGGCATCAGTCAGCAGGCGGTAAGCAATTGTATTGTGCATCACTTGTTTTTCTTGGATTTAATTCCTTTTTTCCTATTATTATTATTATTATTATTATTATTATTATTATTATTATTATTATTATTATTATTATATTTTACTTTGTTTCATTTCTTAAACTGTTCTTATCTCCACCCACCAATTTTATCTTTTTCCAATTCTTTTCCCCATCCCAGTGCGTGGTGTGGGGTGGGTGGAGTGAGCTGTGTGATGCTTGGATTAAATAATGTGATGCAGGGGTAAATCATGACAGAGAGAAATGGCACATGCTCAGGAGGAGCCAAGGCAGCCTCAGAGGCCAGTAGGTCAGTGCCACACTTTGTCTCTGCTGGTCTGTGCTAGGAGACATGGGGAGTGCAAGCTCCTCTCCTCCATGGAGTAAGCACTGTTTCTGTTCACTGCATTGTGTCCTTGGAATGCTTGCTACAGCAGGGTTGCTTCAGCTTCTCTTCCTCAGCAGGTCTCTTGCAGGCCTTCAAACCCATGCTGGTTGCTCCAGATCCTGGCAAGGCTGTTGATCCTGTCCATCAGTTTTGCATAAAAGCAGCAGGGAGAGCATGCTGCTAGTCTGAGAAATAATCAGTTTCTTTTTGTTGCCTTTGTCAGTACAGGAAAGACCTCCTGCTGCTGACTGTTCCCTGTGAATGAGTGCTGTCACTGCACTGTTCTTGCTATTTCCTGCATCTGTTTCTTTTGCATCTCATGTGCTTTAGTGCTGAATTTCTGAGCTCCAAGCTGGCAGCCTGCTCTTTGGCTCTCAGCTTCCCTATCCATCTACATCCCAACTGACATCTTTCCTCCTGACTGCTGTGACACCAGACCCTGATGTAGCCTTCTAATCAGAGATTACCTTCTGTTATCCACCTCTGCCAATAGATAGTTCCCAGCATTATCCAAGAGAGCAAAGGAAAGCAAAGGATGATGACCAGCCATGATCTTGGGAGTCTGCCATACCACCAGGGACACATTTTCAATGCAGAAGTCTGGTTATCTGAGGGCATGAGGTTACTGTGAAAGAGCTGAAGAGATTCAGGAGGGAAGTGCTGTGACGGGGATAAAACATGCCCTGCACTTTCAGGCCCGAGCCAAATGTAAGAAGTGTTTCTCTGCAAGTCTGTCCAAAAGCAGGGTGGTAGAGGGAAAAAGGGACCTTGCTCTTTTCTCACTGCCCAGAAAAGAACAAGGGTGATAGGACTATGCAGGAGAGACATGAGGTGGCTGAGTCTTCCTCTCCTGTTCAGACCTATTGGCCCCTCACACTTTTGCTGAATGAGGAATTTTAGGAATGGGGCTGGCAAATTCAGTAAACTACCCAGAAAGTAACAGGGAGATGCAGTTTCCTATAGTTCACAATGTTGGGTGGTGGGGTACCAGAAGTCTACAATGATGCCTTGGGCAAAAGAAGCAATTCCTAACCCAAATATTTTTAAATTTTTTTTTCCTCCTCTCTTACTAAGCAGTTCACAGACACTAACTAATCCACATGATTTCTCTTGGGGATAGCCACTAACTCTGGGAGAAATCTCTGCTCAGTATTTCCAGGCAGCCTGGCTATTTTCAGTAGTGGAAGGACAAAACACAGCCACAAATGGAGGAGAGGAAAATCAAGTAGAAAGCATTCTCCATCTCACTACAACAAGGGACAGGTTCTCAGGAGGTATGCTCCTTCCCAGATGAAAGGGACAATGTGTAGGAGGGTGCTCCTAATTATCTGTGGTTTCAGGGATCACATGGAAAACTTTTCCTTGGGTTAAGTTAGGTTTCTGTCACGTCAGCAAAGTGCCCTGCCATGTATTCACTTGGATTGATGCAAGGGAAGCAGCTGGCTGAGGGCTGTGGCTGACCAGGCTGCCAGTGTGCTGGACTGGGTGTAATTAGTAGCTGCCTCCCTAAGAGAAAGTATAACACCAAGGCAGGCAGTCACGTCACTCACTGGCTCCATGCAATGCTTCCAGCAAGATCTAAGATAAGAAGCTATTACAGTATGTGTAGAGTGAATAAAGTTTACAACTTATACAATTTTATACTGCAGTCTTGCAAATGTTGCGGTTTGGAGAAATGTCAGCAAATGTTGAAGGAACACATAATTTAAGGAACACAACAAATAGGTAACTTGAGAGATATTGAGGTCGTGGATGGCTTGCTCTGATTGGAAGTTGTGTTGCAGCCAAAAGGTTGGTTCTGCTGTATGTGCTGTGCCTTGCACCCACTCTGGGAAGTGGCAACTGTGGGCTGAGTTGATATCCCGAGCCCTGCTCA